TTGTTCCACGTCTAACTTTATATCTCATCATCTAGTTGCAGATTTAAATAAAAAATCTCTCCAATTTCCACCTGTATCTCCCATCCATGCCCGCCTCTTCCAATATTACCATTTCACCTACCCAAATTGGACATAAAGAACCTTTGGCAATGGCTTCTGTTTCCAATGCTCTATTCATTTCCTCAAAGTTATTTGTCTTCAACTCACCTATTTGCTCTTTGCAACATCCAAAGCCACAGGCTCAGTTTCAAAAATATACACAGATTACAACCTTAGCTAAGACAATAACTTAAAGGACTACCAATTTCTACCTTTTCCCAGTTATCATTTTGGGAAATCCTGAAAGCTCTGCGATCCTGTCCACCCTTGAGCTAAGCTGCAAAGCCTACATCATGCTGCTTCATTACTAAGTCCAGCCTATCCACGTTTATGATCACCCAGCTTCACCTGTACCTTAACCCTACTCCAGTTGAAATGCTTGTTTGTGCTTCTGTTATCTTCACATTAATTTACTGTAGGGTGGAACTTTCACAATATTGATTCATTCATAGCTGCATCTTCTGTCATGGTGTCAGTGATACAGCAGATAGCAACTGGTGTAGGAGTTGGGTGTCATGTTGAATGCAGGAGTATCATTTTGAAACTAGGAGGGTGGAGAAATCAATAATACCAGCATGGTTGGACTGAAAAAGAACAATGATATTGTATAGAAGAGTATTAGATGGAGCCTGGGGGTTGGAAGGTAAAGGGAGAAAAGGGGAACTGTACAAGTTTGAATCAAAAGCAAAAGACACTGGAAGAAAAGTGCTAACTTATGAAATAAAATGAAAAGGTTATCCAAACAACTTCTTCATTGCAAAATGAATGTAAGTCATGATGAGCAATTAAATGCTTTACAAAGAGAAAGATTTGGATCTCCCGATGCAATTCAAGTACTTTTAATGCGATATCACCTTACCTCCACATCTTGAACACTACGAGGTTGGGCTAAACAAAGCATGCTCAGCAACTGTAGGATTAGCTCTTCAATGTATTGCAAGGCATCCTCAGTAGAGGCAAGTTTGGGATGTACCTGTTGTTGAACCTGACAACAGCAAATGGAAAAAGAATTAACAATCAAAAAACAAACAACTGAACTGTTAATCGATGCAAATATAGCAAAATTTTAAAATCTCATGTCATACTTCAAATATTGAAAGAAAAATCAATCCACACCTGTGGCATTTCAGGTTGCACGCTTTAGAATTGCTTGATTGAAACAATTATTTTTTCTTTGGATCATGACAGCTGTGGAAGGTCATTTAGCTCACCCAAATTCATTTACACAGAAAGATCAAGTCAAGGTTACAAATTTAGGTCTGGCAAAAAGTACCCTCTTGGGCACAGTGGTATCAGTTACTGACATATGCTGTTCGAAGAGTCTCACTTCTCTGGAAGTTGACCAGCTGGGACCAAACATATGGTAGCTAAATTTGCGAAAGACACCAAGATAGGTAGGCAGCTGAGTTGTCAAGAGGAGAAAGAGCATGTACTAAGGGATGTGTGCATCTTGAGTGTGGGGGGAAAAAAAAACCTGCCAGATGTGGGTAAATGAGAGGTTTTCCACTTTGGTAGGAGGAGCAGGAAAGCAATATACTAATTATATCCAGAAAAAAGTTGTCAAACTCAGGTGCAGAGGGTTACTGGTGCCCTGAAACATGAGTCACAAAAATTTAGAGTGCAGGAACAGCAATCATTAGGAAGACAACTGGAATGTTGCCATTTATGGGTTAGACCACATCTAAAGTACAGTTTGGTCTCTTAATTGAGAAAAAATACAAGACATTTGCTTAGAAGCAGCTCAGAGGTTAATTCAACAAATTTCCAGAATGCAGGGCTTATCTCACAAAGAAACATTGAACAGGTTGCGCCTGTATACATCGCTGTTTAAAATGTGTGCAGTCCTGGTCACCATATTATAAGAAAGATTTGATTGCACTAGAGTGGGTGCAGAAGAGAGTCACCAGAATGTTGCCTGTGCTAGAACAACACAGCTATGAAGAGAAACTTGATAGGCTGGGTTTGTTTTCCCTAGAGGGAGAAGGCTGAAGGGGGCATCTGCATGAGGTGTACAAAGTTTTGAAGCACAAAGTAGATGGGGAGAAATTTTCCCCATAGTAGAGGAGTCAATAACCAGGAGTCACAGTTTTAAGTAAGGATTAGGAGGAAAAATATTTTCACCAAGAGTGTGATGGGTATCTGGAATTCACTGACCAAAAGGGTGGTAGAGGCAGGAACCATCAAGACATTTTAATAGTGTTTATATGGTAATGCCAAAGCATACCAAGCTATGGACCAAGTGCTGGTAAATAGGATTAGAATAGATGGATATGATGATGACCAGCATGGACACAATGTGCTGAAGGGTTTCTTTCCATGCTATAAAAACTGTATCTAAAGTCACACGACAGCAGGTTATAGTTCAACAGGTTTATTTGAAATCACAAGCTTTTGGAATGTCGCCCCCTTCGTCAGGTGAAGTGAGAGAGAAGCACACAGATATAGAATTTATGGGTGAAGAAATCAAGGACAGAGAGATCAAAAGATCATACAAATGTTGTGGGTGGAGTGTCGAATAATAAGTCCCTGCAGGTGATCAGAAGTGTTATACATTGTGAGTAAAGTGTCGACAGCTGAATAACAAGAGAAGGGATGACCTATAATCCAATTAAATGAAGCTGAGAAATAACTACAAAAAATTAAAAATAAGGTGGTGCTGGAGACAAACCAAATGGCTGGAATAACATGATAGGTATAAGAGTTGCATGCCGAGGGTCTGACCAAAGTAATAAGTAATCCAAACTGTACCAATGAATTAAGGCAGAGATCATAACACTTTATCTCAAAGTGATGGTGTCAAAACAGGACAGTAAGCAAAATTTTATAGATACAGAACAGTGTGGTTGGGTCACATGTAGCATGACATGAACCCAAGATCACAGTTGAAGCTGTCTACATGGATACGGAACTTGGCTATCAGTTTCTGCTCGGCATGCTGCCTTCTTGTGTATCTCGAAGGCTACCTTGGAGGACGCCAAGGACGCCAATCGGAGGCTGAATATCCTTGACCATGTTTCCCGACAGAGGGGAACATTCCTGTCTGGCAATTGTTGCGTGGTGTCCATCCGTTGTGGTGGCACCCATATGGTCTCACCAATATACCCTGCCTCAGGGCATCCTTGCCTGCAGCATAGGAGATAGACAACCTTAGCTGAGTCACACGAGTACCCGCCGTGTACGTGGTGGGTAGTATTCCCACATGTGACGGCATTATCCACGTCAATGATCTGACATGTCTTGCAGAGGTTGCCGTGACAGGGTTGTGCAGTGTTGTGGTCAATGTTCCCTCCTAGTCGGGGAACACTTCAGAGGTAAAGAACATTCAATACTGATCTTTGGGTAAGTGTCCTCCAAGGCGGCCTTCAATTGCCATGGGGAGATGGTTAGACTCTCTCTTGTTGGACATGGTCATTGCTTGCTGCTTGTACAGTGCATAATGCTATTTTCCACTCATCAGCCCAAGCCTCAATGTTGTCCAGATCTTACTACTTGCAGACATGGGGTGCCTTATTCACTCGTGATTCAGCAGTATCTTTTGCACTGATGTGCTGGGTCCCCATCAAGGATAGGTCATTTGTGGAGTCGCCTCCTCCTCCAAGTAATTGTTTAGTTGTCCACTATCATTCATGACTGGACTGAACTATCGGACTTGAATCTGATCCGTTGGTAACAGAATCACTTAGCTCAATGACATAATGCTTCCACCATTTGGCATCCAAGTCGTAATGTGCTCTAGTTTCACCAGCTGAAACCTCATTATCATGGTATGTCTACTACTGTGCCTGGCACCTTTTCCTGCACTTTTAATTGAACCAAGGTTGAGCCTCTAGCTTAGTGGCAATGGTAGAGTGGGTAAGTGGGTTGGGTGGAATGGCCAGGCCATGAGATTGTGGTTGAATGAAATTCTGTCGCTGCTGAAGACCCAGAGTACTTTAAGGATACCCAGTCAAGCTGCTAGACCCGTTCAAAAATTTATCCCATTTAGCACAGTGATCGTGTCACACAACACGATGAAGGGCAACCTCAGCATGAGGACCAGACTTTGTATCTACGAGCATTGTGGGTCGTCACTCCTACCATTATAGTCATGAACAGATGCAATAGGTGGGCAGATGAAGCTGAAGTCAGGGGAAGCAGTACCATAATGATACTGTTACAGGACTGGTAATCCATAACCCCAGTGCAATGTCCTAGGTTTAAATCTTACCAGGAAATCTGAATTCAGTGAAAATATGAAATTAATGAGGCCATATATCCACAGCCAATTGACATAAATCCCATCTGGTTCACTTTCCTTTAGCAAAAGGAAAACTGTCCTCCTTTAATGAGATTCCTAGCAAGCCATTACGAGATAAGCCTTTTGTGGTTCCACTACTTATTAACAGGATTCAAATTTCACCATCTGCTGTGGTAGGATTCAAACCCATGTTTCCAGAACACGAACCTTGGTGTCTGGCACACCACTATGCCAACACTTCCCCATTCTTCCAATCCACTTTTCTATATGGAAGACTATTCCACACAGTGATCAGTTTGACAGAAGAATTTCTGGTACTCAATCCTAAATTTAGAACTCATTCATTTGAACCAACGTCCCCTTGCTTTAATCTCTAAATTAAATTTCAAATTTGTGTTCCAGATTTCCTTTCTCCATTCTGTTAATGAATTTACATGCTTCTAAGATCTCTCCATCCTTCCTTCAAAATTCAGACTATTAACATTAGGGATCAGCCCTGCAGCTCCTCTTTACATTGCTCAATTCTAATCACTGAGGCATGAGGAGAGTAATCAAAGGCTGGAAGCAAAGGCTTCAAAGTGAAATTGGACTCAATCTATGCAATATGATTATAATTTCTCCCAATTTATTTTCTATGTTCTGACTATACTATTCAATATTTAGTGACTGCTGATTGCTGCTCTGCACTGGTTATATTTCTGAAGCATCCAGTCTACTAAGGTTCCTAGACAACTGTAACTTGATTTTTATCCATCTGAACGCCATTCATAATCAGTGCGCACCAACTATTTTTCCTACACACATTCAATACTTTACAAAGTCCGCATGAAACAATGAGCAAGGCTCAATCAAACTTGGGGCTGCAGTGAGATCACAAATATCCAAACTGCATTTCAGATGAATAGCTTCATAAAAATGGCAAATGACCTGATATTTTCTAATACTTTACTGTGGTTTTGGCACAGCCCAAGCAGAATAATGAATCCCTGGTTTCTGTAATACAACAGATATTGTGAAGCAATGCATTATATAATTGACAGCAGATAAAACTATAACATATTTTGCAGGAGCTCTCAGATATAATCTTGGAAATATTTATCTACCACTAGTATAAACAAACTCTTCACGTACCAAAGTAATCACACTGAGAAGCAAGAATCTTCTAAAAACGTTAATGAGAATACTACAAAATGGAGATTAACCGATATACTGGATACATATTTTAAGTACTCACTAGAACCAACACGTCCATTCACAAAAAAAAATTCCTAAACAATAATCCATGTAGGTCTAAGAAGTTTTGACATCAACGTCAAGTCAGATCTTAATTGCACAAAACCAGCAAGTCCTCCTCAAGAGAGATAGTATGAACTGCCGATGCTGGCGTCAGAGATAACAGTGTGGAGCTGGAGGAGCACAGCAGGCTAGGCAGCATCTGAGGAGCAGGAAAGCTGTTGTTTCGGGTCAGGACCCTTCTTCTGAAGAAGGGTCCCGAACCGAAACGTCGACTTTCCTGCTCCTCTGATGCTGCCTGGCCTGCTGTTCTCCTCCAGCTCCACATTGTTATCAAGTCCTCCTCAAGGAGGGCTGGTTTCTACTGCATAGAGTCTCAAATAATGAAGTTTAAAATGTGAACAGAAAAGGAAAAAGATGTAATTATAGATAGTGCAAAGTAAGTCACAGCTAACGAGTGTAAATTCTCAGTTATTATGCTGAAAAAGGCTCCAAAATGCAATGAAATAATCATT